TAGATATGAAGACTAAGATAGTGTGGCCTTCTGTTTAGTCGCAGTCTTAAAATCTAGCCAGGCCTATCGATTGAAAATAGGAATACTCAGGAGTATGGTCATAAGAAGCCTACGACTCACTGAATTTGGGTTCTGTGAAAAGGAACTGGGGAAACTAAAGGAAACGGATATCCAAAAGAAGCAATACAACGCAACATACTGAAGGTAATGAACAGATTGAAGGACGAAAATTATAAAAAGAAATCAAGAGAAATAAAAGAAAAATGATGGATATGTCTACCTTCAAGCGAATTTGCTCGGAAGCTGCGGCCGATACTACGAAAATGGAGCATTAGTACAATACTGAAGGAAAGGACAACCCTCTTCATTATCTTGCCTAACCAACATAAAGAAGTCAACAAAATGGAGTGCTCTCGAGTTTAAGGCAAAAATTACAAGGATGTAAACAAAAATACATCGGAGAGGCGGGACGGACAATCATTTTACAGATCAAAGGACACCAACGCCTATGAAAAAAAATATATACGGAGAGATCAAAGATAGCTGAACACATCGTCCTTACCCGCCACGCATTTGACTGAAATGCAATGGAAAGACTGGCCCCAGCTTCGAAGAACACCATAAAAAGGGAAGATCAGGGAGGCTGTGAATATACTCTTTTATAGAAACCTGATAAACAGGATATTAGAAGAGGGCAGAGTCAGCGATAATTTCGCGCGATGTCTGGCAGACAAGGAGACTTAACGAAGACGCTAGGACCCAGGACAATAGATCAATAACAGGAAGAAATATCGCCAAAAATCTGCTCATCAGGGACAAATATAAGTCAAGAAAAGGCGATTGCAGTGAGAGAAGTCAAACGGGGAATCGCTAACAATTTACCCATGGGTTTCACCTGTGGGATGAGGGAAAGGTAATTAAAAGCTAAAGGTATAGGTGGTCAATATATGTCAGCAGTGTATGCGTGTGTACTTGTGTGCATTTCTCGTGTGTGCGCCTTGACGAGCGGTGATCGGCTACAGGCTTGACTACGGAAGATACCAGCCAATACATACATGAACATCCTAGTACCCTAAGATTGGATGGGAGTATCAACTTGAGAGGGAGAGAGCAGTGTAATTTAAGCGATTCAGGGGGGGAAAAGGGAAGCGATGCATTTTCACACTTTCACTTATAAATTAAGGGGGAACAGGGCCCCAAATAATGAGATACAATGTGGATAGGAATGGGATAGAGGATAACTGAGTGATGGGTTTTAAGCCTAGAGAGAGGAAAATTCCCAGGCATTGGCATAAACACCACCTGCTATAAATCCTCAAATTTGGCGTAATTGAGACGGGAATTGAAGGCTCGTAAGCAGCCAGATTTTAGAGTCATCTAGTGATTTTAATGTGTAGTAGCGACTAATTGACAAGTGGAGTAGAACAAGTGAGGCTGAATGAAGGTCATGAGCCCTGTAAACGTCACTTGGAACCAGCGAAGATTATGACGCTCCAATAAACCCACTTGTAGCGACACACTCTTGTGCGACAATAGAGGAAATGGGAGCACAGAATGGCGTGAATAGTTAGGCACGTCATGAGAAGTGGGGTTGAGAGAAAGAAATGCAGCACTATACGATAGAACAACAACGGTTGAATAAAAAATTGGTCGAGGGGATTGCTTGTAATTGTCGCTTTACTAAATTGAATCTCTGTGCGGTGAATAGCACTTCTCAATGACGATTCCGACTACGAGGCCGACGAAGCAAATGGTCCAATGCTGGAACTCACGAATACTTGGTTAGAGGACAAAAAACTAGGTATTTTCCAAAATATCTCTGTGATGTTCCGACAAGTTGCGAAAACGAGATCTAGCCAACACTATAAAGTGTCTTTTAGTTCTCAATTTGGGAAGAAGAGGTAAAAATCATGAAAGCAAAGGAGTGCAGTCATTTTTAAAACACTGGCGGAGAATGAGGTTCTTATAAAATTAGGGCTAAAGATTTTACATAGCACTTAAGACGCAAAAGATGTTTATATTAATAAATTTGCTCAAAACTACAAAAAAAATGGACATTTAAAGTGTGATAAGAAAATATCTATAATTATAAATAAGTGAAAGAATGCACCCCCATACCCAAATGTGCACAGACATTCGCAAAAATAAAATG